AAGGCAGAACAGAAAGACTATGTAAAGACAAACACACAGGAAGCAGGTCTCTTTCGGAGAGGTCTCTTGGCTGAAGAGGCTAGCTGCAGCAGGTGGTAAGGCTCTTAGCTCTGATCTCTTGGCTTTCTTCTTTGCATTGGTTCTGTGTTTCTTATTTAATAAGATGGTTGGTTACGTCTACACCCTTCCACTCACGCCTCCTGCAGTGACTTCTGGGAACAAAGGGGCTTTTTTCGTTAGCCAAACACTGCTAAGATAACTGAACAGGAAAGTAGAAACAAGGCCTGCTCAAATCCACCAGGCCCCAACTATGAGATGAGAAAAAGAGGTCTAAAGGGGTGGCGAGGGGGTGTAATGGGGAAAAAATAAACTATTTCATATCCCCCCCAGACAGGGTCCCTCTGTGTAGCTTTGGAGTCTTTCCTGGAACTCACTCTATAGACCAGGCTGGCCTCAAACTCACAGAGATCCGCCTGCCTCTGCCTCCCGAGTGCTGGGATTAAAGGCGTGTGCCACCACCTCCCAGCCATATTTTCTCTCTTATACAGAATCTAGACTTAAATATTACATGTGTGATACAAACACAGAAGTGGACTAATATACATGACATGCAACCAGTAAGGGGATTATTTACATGTAGCAAGGGGACCAGTGAGAGTTGGGGGAAGAGAAGCAGAGGGAGGTAATTGGGTGCAGTAATTTATATTTGTTAAGATGTCATAATAAAACTCATTATTTTCTATAATAACTTAAAAATAATTTTAAAAAAGCTAAGAGAGAGAGAGAGAGAGAGAGAGAGAGAGAGAGAGAGAGAGAGAGAGAGACTGGGAGGCTGGGTGGGCCCCAGGGTGAGGCTTGCAGCCCCAAGCTTTTTAGTTACTAAATCTTTGCAGATCCCGCAGCATGGGGTGATGGGAAAGAGGGCTTAGGACTTACAGATGGTAGCTGCCATCTCCCGGCAAGATAAAGTCAGCAGTGAAGCATGCCTACAGGGCTTATTACTGTCCTGTGACAGATGGCCTTGGAGAATGAATGAAAGTTCCCCTTGGTCTCTCTCTGTACAGTCAGCTCCCATACTGCAGAGGGGTGGGGTGGTTTGATTTACCCCAAGGAGAACAAATGGTTCTGGTTCTAAGTTTGGGCTTGAGTTGCCCATTCTTCCCGATGGAGCCCTTCCCAAGAGAAAACCAACACCCATCTCTTATCTTGGTATTTGGAGTTTCCTGGTTGCTTGGATTCTGCAAAGAAGTCATTTCTTTTCTTACAACTTTGTCTAACCGTGGGGCTGGAGGTTGGTTCTGTGGTTAAGACCCCTTGATGCTCTTCCAGAGGACCCTGATTCAGTTTCCAACATCCATATCAGGCAGCTTACAACCACCTGTAACTCCAACTCCATAGCCTAATGTCCTCTTCTGGCCTCCAAGGGCACTTGCAAGCATGTAACACCACACACACACACACACACACACACACACACACACACTCACTTACTCACTCATACACTCACACACATGTGCACACATTTTTTTTTAAGTCATAAAAAAACAAACACAATTTTCTCTAAAGTCAAGGACATTTCCCTAGACCCCTCTGGCAGCAGTTGCCCCCCAGTGGCTGGGCAGCAGGGTGGGTGATTCTATTCTCCTGGGTGCTTGCCTTCTTCAGCCCTGGTGGTTTCTGTATCCGGATGAGGCTTACCTAGGTGGAGCCACTGGACGACGCTCTACAAATTCACGTAGTCGGATGGCCGTCATGATAGAATCTGAAAAGAGTTATGGAGTGAACTTCATATTGCACGTTTATACACATTTCCAGGCATTAGCTGTTGCTACAGTTTGGCTCTGGGTTGTCTCCAAAAGGCAGGCCCTCCCTGGGCAGATGGGCCTGGGCTGTATAAGAAAGGTGGCTGAATCTGAGCCTTTGGGAGCAATCCAGTAAGCAGAGTCCTCCATGGTCTCTGCTTCAGTTCCTGCCTCCAGATTCCTGTCTTGAGTTCCTGCCTTGGCTTTCCTCCATGATAGGCTGTAGCCTGTAAGCTGAATAACCCCTCCCCTCCCTCCCCAAGCTGCTTTTGGTCAGTGTCATACCACAGCATCCGGGAAGCAAACTAGGTCATTCTGATAACAGCTTCCTGGTTTTTGTGGCTTGTCCCACAGGCTTCTTCCAGCCCCACCCAAACCTGACTGTGCTCCCTTTAAAGCTCTCCCGTCTCGATATTGAGCCTTTCTCTATTTTCATACTCACCTTAAATTGTGTTGCTTCTTGCCTAGTTTTTTTATATTACCCTTGATCAGGTACTGGAGAGTATGGCTTGCCCTAAGCAAACCAGTCCATTTAAACGTTCATGTGAGAAACTCCAGAATGGGGAGGGAAAGTGAGTGGGTGGGAGACTGAGGTGGGAGAGAGGCCTGCTGTTGCTAGAGTACCATCGTGTACCTCGTAGACTACTCACACTGTGAATAGGTTGTCTACTCTACGTAAAGAGAACTGTGTCTCTAATTTGTATGACCCTTGGATGGAGACCCCTGTGGCCTAAGTTATTTCTCAGCTCTGTATATTGATTATAATACCTCTCTATAGGGTTCAATGAGGCCACAATGTGCATGGGCATGCTCTGTGACTTAAAGGCATGCTTGAGGAAGGAGAAATATGAGTTTATTTGTGAGCCTGTGTAATATGTTCCAGGGAACACACTGTAACTAAGAGGGTCCTTGAGGAAGGTCTGCAAAGTGCTGTGACTATTTTCCTCTCAAGAAAACATATACTCAGATGTTAAGTAACTTGTGCAAGCTACACAGGAGCTGGGACTGGACTCCTCAGACTCAAGTGCATCCATCTTAACGACGGAGTTACACCAAAACAACCCAGAGCGCCCAGAGACCCGAAACAACAGGGACTGTTCCAGAGGAAGGAGGAGGAAAGAGAAGCCATCAGGAGGAAGAAAGGGTTGGGGGGAACATGAGGCCTCCTCTTCTCCTTTTATACTCAAGTCTAACTCACCCTCAGGCTCCCACCAGCTCTCTTCTACCTCTCAGTGGGGTTTTCAAGTCAAATTTCTCAATGGCAACACATGGTAACAGAGTGATTGGTGATCTATCCCGAGAAACCTGTTTATTGCATAGTACCTTTTCCCCCAAGAGACCTGCTTTAAATTTTTTAGTTAATATATGCTAACTGTACACATGAATGAGGTTCAAGGTACCTTTTCCATACATGCATACAGTGTGTGCTGATCAAATCTAACTCCCTGATCTTTTCACACCTGCCCACCCTCCCCAATCTCTATTCTGTTTTTCAGGCCAACTTTGGTTCTTATCCTCCTGGATAAGTGGCTTAGCTCACTTCCCACCCCCACCCCACATCCAGCTCCATCCATTTTGCTGTGTGTTGTATGATTCCACATGTCCTCATGGCTGAACAACGCTGTACCACGTTTGTATACCACATACCCTCATCCGTTCACCCACCGCTGAGCCCTCGTGTGGAAGGGGTGTCTCAGCGACTGTGAACGTGGCTGTGATAAACATGGGTGTGCAAGGGTCTCTTCCATATGCATTTTTTAAATGGGAGGATGAGCAAAAGAAAATTTAGGTAAGTGCAACTGAGCTCTTGCGAAGTCAAACTCCAAAAACCGCGTTTTGAGGTTTTTGCTTGCACATGTGATATGCTGGTGAGGAAGCCAGCCTTTAAGGAAGCCAGCTCTAACACATTACCCTCTTCTCTAGATGAGCCAATGCTTAGTACTTAGAAACTGTGAATCAGCATGATGGGAAAGAAACCTGCCATCGGTTGTCCTGCTTTGGCTAGGCCACTTAAATAAACATTTTTGGAACAATGGATTAAAGTCTTCCAACACTAGGGGCCTGTGAAGGGCATCTTGAGAGTGTGGCCACGTTTTCATCTCTCTCCTCATCCCTAGCCACCGTAAGGCACACAACCTCTTTTTCTTTTTAAGATTTATTTTTATTTATGTGTACACGTATACATGTGTACATGTGTATATGTGTGTGTTCCTCGTGTATATGTGTGTCTGTGGAGGCAGGAAGAGGGTGGCAGATCCCTTAGAACTGGGATTAGAGGTGGGTGCTGCGGACCGACCGTGGGTCCTCGGCAAGAGCGGCAAACCCCCCCCCCACTTAACCGTTCTCCAGGCTCAAAGTGCACAGCTCTGCGCTGTCATTTCCACCACACGCCACCAAAGGCCCCACGAGGCCAACCTGTCACCGATGAAAACCTTTACAACCGTGAGTGTCTCAGTCAGGCTGCCAGTGCGGTGAGGAGACACCACAACCAAGGCGAACCTTATAAAAGAAATCATTTAACTGGGGACTCACTGACAGTGTCAGAGGGTGAGTCCATGACCAATCATGACAGGAAGTGTGGCAGCAGGCAGGCTGTCGTGGTGCTGAGAGTCACATGGTCCTCAAGTTGTGGGCAGAGAGAGAGCCCGAGGCTGGGCCTGGTGTGGGTGCCCACGCCTTGTGACAGACCTCCAACAAAGCCACATCCACTCCAAGGAGACCACGCTTCCTGCTCCTTCCTAAACAGTTCCACCGACTGGGGACTAAGCAGTCAAACACATGAGCTTATGGAGGCCATTCTTCAAACCACCACAGGGAGCCAAAATATAGTTCTTACAAGTTGATTATCTCAGGTATTTTGTTGTAGTAGTGGGTAGCTGACTCAGACATCATAAAAACACTTTTTAAACTGGAAGCATAATACACTCAGAAAAATAATACTATGGTATTAAAGGCATCCATTATTATACCTGTTTTCATATTCCATGTATGCGTATATGTGTGTGTTTATATATTTGGAGCTCCATCATCTATTCTCTTGAGTAATGTTTGGTTTTCCTCTGACAACGTCACGAGACAATTTCTACATTGCCACAGCCATCCAGTTCTAATATTTAGTGTTCCTTGGGGTTGTCTGGTGAGGCCCACCTATCACCTCATCTATTTAGTGCTAGAAACTGAGTGCAGGACTCATGCATGCTGAGGTCCACACTCTGCCACTAAGCTGCACCTCTAGCCTCATCACCCCATGTAAAATAGGGTCCACATTTGCTCCCAGCTCCGGAACTATCCCCTGCTTTATACTTTAGTTTTCCCCAAAACAAAGGCTGTAGGGGTAGACAAGATTGCTTCGGAAATCCTGGGCATTTTCTCCAAAGTCAGGCACCTGAGAAGTTTTTCCTAATGGAGACAGGCTTTCTGAAGACTTGGTTTAAAAGTGACTTTAAAACCAGCATTGACCCCACTCTTGGGCATATACCCAAGGAATGCTCAATCATACCACAAAGATACATGCTCAACTATGTTCAAAGCAGCATTATTCGTAATAGACAGAACATAGAAACAGCCTAGATGCCTGTCAACCGACAAATGGATTAAGAAAATGTGGTACATATACACAATGGAGTACTACTCACCAGAGAAAAACAATGACAGCATGAAATTTGCAGGCAAATGAATGGAACTAGAAAACATCATCCTGAGTGAGGTAACCCAGAACCAGAAGGACAAACATGGTATGCACTCACTCATAAGTGGATACCAAATATAAAGCAAAGGACAATCAGACTGCAACTCACGGCTCCAGGGAGGCTACATAGCAGGAGGGACCCTAGGATGACTTTGGCTTATAATAAGTTTTGGTTTTACTCAATCACTGGGCAAGCCTCAATGAAACATTTCACTATTAGGATAAGAATTTGTACTCTATCAAGCTGATAATAGAATAAATAAAAATAAATAAATAAAAAACCAGAATTAACTTCTATCACACACAAAAGTTAAAAAATAATATTGTTGCCTGGGCTTGGTGGTCTAAATGCCAGTGCTTGAGAAATGGATGTAGGAGGATCGCTGTACAACACGACCTTGCCTTAGAAAACAGTATTATCAAATCAGATGTCGGATGCCCTTAGCACAATGTGGAATTAGTGACAATTACTTGGTAGATTTAACCAATATATAAATAAGTAATAAATGAATAAATGGCATGTTATCATTTAGTCTGTTTAGAGAAGAGGCAGGAATAAAATGTTAGAGTCAGGGCCCTAAAATCTTCTCTAGTGTTTAATCCACCAAGATTTAGAAATCTCAAAGAATAGTCAGTGCATTGCGTTTTCACTACAGTAATAAACATTGCTGAGGCTAGACGATTACACAAAGAAAATAAGGCTGTGTATCTAACATTTGTGGCTGTTGAAGCAAGGCACCAACATTAGCAAGACTCATAGTGGAGACATGTCTGAGGAAGAAATCATGCAGTGAGACAGGAAGCCAAAACTCTCAGTGGGCCAGGATTTTTAAACAGCAATCTTAACTCAAGGAATCGCATGAGAACTACCTTAGTCCCAGGGGTAACCTCTTAATGCCCAGTGACCTCCTTCACAAGTCCAACACCTTCTAACGCATGAACCCTTTGGTGGCCGACTACATCCAAACCTTAGCGGTCAGGGAGTGGCGTTTCAGCCACGTGTAAATAGTACTTGTTGATTTTCTGTTTGTATTTTGTAAAGTCCCTTTTCCTTGGAAGAGTTGAGTCTGTGCTCAGGTCATTCGAGGTGTCTTAGTCATGTGACACCATAGAGACCACATGGGGTGCTAGGCCCGCTCAGCCCATGTGGCTTCTGGGTTGCTCTGGAGCTGGGTGGAGCTCCTGGTTTGGCACTCAGAAGCCCGTGAGCCTCCATGTCCTGAGAGGATGGTCAGACAGGAGTTTTCAGCACTTGAATTGCTTTGATGGGGCTCTGTTGTTCTCTTAGGATAGTAGTCGCCACATTTCTGGAAGGTTCCCACCCCCACCCCAGAGTCCTGATGTGAATTCTCTTGGCTGAACATTATCCTTTCTCTTCCAATCTAAATCCAATCATGTTTCAAGGCCTTCTTCAGGACCTATAACATTTCTGCCTGATACCTTGGTCAAAGTGGCCCATTACCCACTTTGGACTCCCCATGGCCATTGGTAAATTCTATAATGTGGTTTGGCTCTGAGTCTTTCTCTCTTTGGCTTATTGGTTTCTGTATTAACTTAACTTAAACATGTTTACATTTAAAACAATTTTTTGTAAATGGCAATTTTACACTGAGTCTTGGATAAAATCTAATTTCTTCAAACAATAGCAAAACATCTACGTTGTACAGTCTCCTGCCTTGTCCACCAAAATGTAAGCTCATAGACCCTGGAGGCCATATTCCTAGGGTACCTCTGTGTTTGAGTTCTTATCTCACAGTCTTCAAAAGTGTTCCCCACCCAAGAAGGGCTTGAAACACACTTTGGAATAAATGAAAGAAACAATTAACTCGTCCTTGAAGCTATCTAATAACCTGGTTAAGTCTTTAAAATCTTAGTCTTCTTAGGTCATAGGTAAACCTCATGAAATCTAGGTATACAACACTTCTTTGACAATTCATTAAAATACCAAGGAAACGATTCAGCATCCCAAGTAGAGAACTATTCACATCTAAAATAATTTTTAGGGCCAGAGAAAAAGCTTATGGGTTATAAGAGCTTTCTGTTCTTGCAGAGAACCAGAACCCTTAGTACTTGGGCAGCTAAAATTGTCTATAACTCCAGCTCCAGGGGATCTGATACCCTCTTCTTGTCTTGTTGGACACCTGTACTCATGTGCACATACCCACACACAGATATATATACACATACATAAAATCTGGGGCGGCGGCGGCGGTGGCGGTGGCGGCGGTGGGGGGGCAGAATTCTTGGCTTTGTGAAGAATTTCAATCATAAAGTTATAAGGTGTGAGCACCTATTAAAAATACAATCCTCACCAGTACTTGAGAAGCAGAGGTGGGCAGATACCTGAGTTTGAGACCAGCCTGCTCTACGGAGCGAGTTCCAGGACAGTTAGGAGCTAGGACCACCCAGAGAAACCCCGTTTCTTGAAAACCCAAAAGTGATCCTCTGATTAGTAATACAACCACTGAGCGAGGGGAGAGGCACACGAAATGACGGCCTTGCTGGCATTACCGGCGTGGGCAGCAGTGGGCAGGGGCCTCCTTGTTCTTCAAAGCAGCCCTCCTCTGAGGGCAGCAAGCATCTGAGTCACCTCCCTGTGTGGGGTTTGCTTCGGGGGCACATGGCAGAGCTGTGAGACTTGATCCCTTTACATCATTCAAAGAGGATTATGATGCACTGTGGGGTGGAAAGTTTTGCTAAGCAACGCCTTTCAGGCTGAGAGAAAAGAGAGTTTTGAAAATCTCTAACAGAAAGCATAGCTGTGCATTAAACGAAAGGACAGGAGTTGGCGTCAAAGGGAAAACCGTACAGGTAGGTATCCATGACCCGGACTATCAAATCACTAGAACTGGCTTTTCTGTAAACATTACCCCAAGGGTAACATAAGGTCAAGGATCTGGTGCTGTACATGTCCTTTGCAAGCTGGAACTGAGAAAGTGGGGTTGGCCCAGGGACAAAGGAACCCGGCACTGTCTGGTCTAAAATGACACCAGGCTCCAGAAACCCGCTGCTGCTACAGCCATCGAGGAGGCTTTTAATTGTTCAGGAACATGATTCCAACCGATCCTCATGTCACAGCAGCACGACTACATGGAAAAGCAAGTCACAGCCTGAGAACAGAACGGCTACAGGATGGTCGTCGAGACCCAGCAAACATCTAGGACCCAAACAAACACTGGTGTTGTTTACCAAAGGTCGGCCTGGAAACGGGGCACCTTCTCACCAAATCAAGCTTGCAAGCAGGAAGTGAAATGTTTCTGTGAGGCTCCAGATGGCACGTAGTGGGAGCCTGGGCCAAGGCTGGACTCCCCTGGGGAGCTTAACCCACATCACCACAACACAATCTAATACCAGAGCTTGGTGACCTGGCATTTTGTTGAAAACAGACAACCATGGATAATGTAAATATGAGGACAAAACAACATATTGGGTCCAAGGGAATGGAAGTGGTGCACTGAGTCTCATCCGGGAGAAGGACCCTCAGTGTTTGAGTTGCCGAACACCTAACCATCCCAGTCTCTGCCACGACCCGGAGAGCCAAGCAACTCCATTTTAATAAGAACTAAGAGAAACCGAAGGACTTAACCAGAAATCCTACAACAGGGAAATCATGAATCTGGGATTTGAATCCAGATCAATTTAACTTGGAAGTCCAGTTTTAATTTGCATTTTAACTAAAATATATCAACCTTTCTTTTCCATTACTTAAGACAAGAGTATCATTTTTATCTTAGGCTGGTCTTGAGTTCACTATGTAGCTGAGGATGACCTTGAACTTCTGTTGACAAGTCTTAGATGTGGGCTGCCCGAAGGTGGGGCCATAAACCTCTAATTCTAGGGTTCTTGCACCGGGAAGTTATGGATTAACATGATCAAAAGATCATCACACACTCTCGGCAGACGTGGAGATGTAGTGCTGAGGGTGGGCCCCTGGGCGCACCATGTTCTCCTGCACTGGGTCCCTCCACCTGGGACTAGAGGCTCCTCCGTTTTGAAAGTCACCCTTAGAGGAGGTAGGGAGAGAAGTCAAAGAGGACACCTGAGAAGTGGCAGGAAACCAGCCCTGGCTGGCTGGCTGCATTTTCAAAGTTGGTGAATAAAAGGGATGTTTGTGGATGGCAGGGGAGGGATTCTCAGCACAGCTGCTCTATCCTAGGGTGAATTCTGGCTAACTAGGCACCAAGACGCGACACACTCCCCCAACAGTAGCCATGATTTAATTAATGATCACAAATATGCATACCAGCCTCTCTGGGTTAAAGATGGTACATTACTTCAATGTTCCTCTGTTTTCCTCTATTACCTTGATGGTGAGAACATATGTTGTTTTTAAGACTCCCTCCCATTTATGTAGTGAGAGAGAGGGGCGTGCAGTCTGTATGTGGAGATCAGAGGACAACTTAGAGGAGTCAGAGCTCCCTTTTCACCTTTCTGTGGGTCCCAGGGATCGAACTCAGGTCTTCGAACTTGGTGGCAAGAGCCTTTGCCCACGGAGCCATCCTGTCAGCTTAAGGGAATATTTAGAGCTTCTATGCAAACGAGAAAAGTCTCTGAGCTCTCTAATCACGGCAGGAGAAAGGAGACATTAATGAAGAGAAGATGTCCCCAGCTAGTAAGTCACCAGCAGACCCTGGGGAAGAGTCATTTAATGATTAGGCTTCCACACTTGAAAACCTGAAGAAGAAAAGTCGCAATTGCCTCGATGCTAATCTTCATTGTCCACTTGACTGAATTTAGGATCTCCTGGGAGACACACCCCTGGGCATGTTTGTGAGGTGTTCCCAGAAAGCCTTAACTGCCGTGGGAAGCCATCTTGGGTGTGAGTGACACCACTTCACAGGGTAGGGTCCCAGGCTAACTAAAAATGAAAACGGGGAGCAGACCTCCTGTGCTCAGCGTTCGTCTCTCTCTGCTTGCTGACCACTGACAGGAAGGTGTCCAGCAGCCTGGCTCCGGTCACCGAGCCTTCCTGCCGTGATGGACGGTATCTGTATCTGCAAACCAGGAGCCCGAATCAACCTTCCCTTAGTTGTTCATACCGGCATCTTGTCATAGCAACGAAAAAGTGTCCGACACAGAAGAGCGGAAGGAATATATCGAGAAGCACAATGACCACGATGCACCTTTGACCCTCTTTCACCAATCTTTAGTGGTTTGCTACATTACATAATTTGTCTTTTCATGCAGGAGGTCC